TCTCCTTGATGAATTTCCATCCGTTGCTTCTGGTCCTGCCCTCAGGTGCTTTGGAGAACAGGTTGACCCCCTCTTCTTTGTGGCAGCCCCTCAGATATTGGAAGACTGCTATTGGTTCTTTCAATTAGACTTGTTGTTGTTGTTAGTTGCGAAGTCGTGTCCGACCCATCGCGACCCCCTGGACAACGTTCCTCCAGGCCTTCCTGTCCTCTACCATCTTCTGGAGTCCATTTAAGCTCACGCCTACTGCTTCAGGGACTCCATCCAGCCACTCATTCTCTGTCGTCCCCTTCTTCTCTTGCCCTCAATCTTTCCCAGCATCAGGCTCTTCTCCAGTGAGTCCTTCCTTCTCATTAGGTGGCCAAAGTATTTGAGTTTCAACTTCAGGATCTGGCCTTCTAAGGAGCAGTCAGGGTTGATCTTCTCTAGGACTGACCAGTTTGATTGCCTTGCAGTCCAGGGGACTCGCAGGAGTCTTCTCCAGCACCAGAGTTCAAAGGCCTCAATTCTTTGGCGCTCAGCCTTTCTTACGGTCCAACTTTCACAGCCATACATTGCAACTGGGAAAACCAATTAGACTAGATATGCCCAATTCCTGAACCGTTCTACATGTCTTAGACTCCAGTGCGCTTGTCATCTTTGTTGCTCAAATGAAAAAACAATAAAAGACATTGATTACAGGTGAGAATTGAACAATAGGAAACATTGATTCTACCTATCATTTCACAAGTTTCAATATATGAATTATAATACTTTCCTTCCAGCTGGGTTTGTAAAGTTTACACGTATATTTATGGATCTTCAGAATACACTCTTATTATTTAGTCCATGAACAGGTCAGGTTTTGTACATCAAAAAAGATGGCTTTGGCTAAAAAGAAAACATGGTTTCCTAAACCTCAAAAGAAGGCATGGAGGCTGGGAGTCCTCCGAAAACGGTAGGCTGAACAGCAGGATGATTTTTTTCCTCCTGCTGACAACAGGTGATTTTGCTGCCAAACCTGGTTTTATGGTGGCGAACTCCCCAGATTTGAACAGGAGCAACTAGGATTGACCCAAGATAACCCTTGGACATTCGTGTGTTTGCCCGGGAAGAGGAATGGTTAACATTTTCAACAGGAGTTGTATGAGGTTGGGGTCTCCATCTTTTCCTTTCAGCTGTTTGGGATTTTTTTTTAAGCAAACCTCAGTTTTAACTTCTTATTTTGCGTCTTCTTGCTGCTTTATTTTGGAGTTGTGAATCACTTTCGTACAGAAATTGATGGTGGAGAATTCAGTCAGAAAAACAAAGAAAGTCCAGTTGCCTCTTGAAAAAGCACATTTGGGATTCCAGGAAACAGCTCATCCCAGAGAGAAAAAGCCTGGCTGAGCTTCCAGAAGCTTCATCTGTAGACATTCCACAGGCCCAACCATGATGCCAGCCCAATTTTTGTCGTTAATGAGAAGCATTCATATGGTTGCATTACCTAGAACAGGGGTCCCCAACCTGTGGGCTGCAGCGCAGTAGTGGGCCGTGGCCTGCTGGCCACCAGGCCACAGGACAGGCTGGCCAGTGTGTGCACATAACCTGGCTAGTGCCATGGCCGTGAGCAGTGGTGGGATTTAAGTATGTGAACAACCGGTTCTCTGTGTGGATGCCACTTCTGGAAGTCCATTCTGGGCCTGGCCAACAAAAAATTAGCTACCGGTTCTGCTGAAGTGGTTCAAACTGGCTGAATCCCACCACTGGCTGAATCCCACAACAGGACACCATGCTGCAGGATGTGAAAACAGGACAACGATGTGCCATGGGGCGGAAAAACAGACACTGCCGCACTGCAGGGCACAGAAACAGGATGCAAAAATGGGATGGTGATGATGCGCCATGGGGTGCAAAAACAGGATGCCGCGCTCCTGCGCCACACGAGAACGGGGCAGGGCTAGTATCACGCGGGCGCTAGCTCTGTCCCATTTGTGTTGTACTCGCAACCCCATGTGCGTCTGTAAAATGCTTCCCCCTCCCTTTCCCTCTGGTCTGCCAAGCGAGAAAGGTTGGAGACCTCTGATCTAGAACATAGGTAATTGATGGAATCCCCTTGATGGCTCCTCCAGACCCATCTCCCTGGACTATTAGCTAAGAGATGACTTGTTCATTCCAATCCATCCCCATTGGTCAAACCCAGACCTGTCTCCTAGCAATGCAGAAGAACCCACTGACGTTGCCACCTTGGTCTGAACACTAGAGAACAGGATTCTGCGCCATGGACTACAGCGCAGGATCGAGGCCTCGCTTTGGCTGGCTAATCCAAGCAGTTGTAGTCTTTCTGTCATTGTCGAGGCCATGTGGCTTTGACCTAAAGTGTAAGAGGAGGGCCTGGGAAAGATGAAATAAGGGGTTCCCCGTGACACCCATTGCCAGGACTGACCACCAGGGCTTTTCACAATCATGTCTCTTGCGTTTTGGAAACCGTGCTGGCCTTACCAAACGACCTGTTGAAATTTCTTATTTTTTACTGGCAGGTGAATTGTGACAGTCCCCCTGTTCAAAGTAATTGTCAACTTGACGACGCTTAGCCCAAAATTGCAAATTTCAGAGCTTACTTGAGAACAAGCCCCACTTGATACAGTAGGTCAGTGGTGGCGAACCTATGGCACGCGTGCCAGAGGTGGCGCTCGGAGCCCTCTCTAGAGATGGCAACTGTCCCTCTTCAACCAGCTGTCTGCTAACTCGCCGAGGTCCCATGTGTCCGGATGCATCCTAGCATGGCTGGTTTCCCTCCCCCCCATCCCATCCCTCCTGGCCTCACCTGCTCTCCTTTTTCTGGGCACAACCCACTGTATCACCTCCTCAGCTATCGGCCGGCCGTCCAGCTCAGAGGCGGCTTCTCTGAACTGCTGGCGGCGGGCTGCGGAGTCCCAGAGGGGCTGTGGCTGCTGACGGACACTGTCGGCCCCCATAAGCTCACTGGCCTCTGTGTGCGGGGGCCGATGGTGTCAGGCAGCAGCCGCCCTGGCCTCTACCTCACCTTGCCCTGCGACAATGGCACCCCTACCCTACCTCGCCTTGCCTCACCTCACCCCATGGGACGAGCCTCCTGCCTACCGCCCCATCTGCCACAGACCCCTTGGATCTCCCCCAACCCTGCCTGGCCCCCACAGGCGTCCCTCCCCACGAGCAACATTGAGATGACCACGTCCACCTTGGCCACACCCAGGCTGCCATGACCACAGCCACGCCCACCTGGCACCCAGAGATAAATAAGTGGGTTTTGGGTTGTGATCACTGCAGTAGATCATACTCCCTTGCTCTTGTTGTTATTACTAAGGATTGTCAAGGAGACAGTGGAGACATCTTGTTTTTTATTCTGCAACCGTCTCTCCAACAATCTGCAGCCTCCTTAGCTGCCCCTATTTTTATGCAATTTCAAAAGGAAAGTTGAAAGGACCCCTCGTGTCCTTTTTTTTTGGGGGGAGGCAATGATCAGGGTTCAAGGAAAGTCCTGCCCTTGGAGACATGTTGTTTCCAGCAGAGAACGTTGTTATGTGCTCCTGGCCACGTTCCTTCGTGACCAGAGGCGAGGTCGCCTGACCAATAACCAGCCAAGACACGATGAAGGCCTTTTGTTTCATTTATTGCAGTGGTTCTCAACCTGTGGGTCGGGACCCCATTTGGGGTCGAATGACCATTTCACGGGGGTCACCAAACAACGCAGTCCGCCATTTTTCCCCCTTTTCCTTAGCTGTGCTACTCCCTTTTATTCTATTGGCTTTTGAAAGCCAATAGAATAGACTCTCTTGAATAGAGTCTAATTCTATTGGCTTTCCAAAGCCAATAGGAATTGTCCAGGCTGTCTCTGCCCTGCTGAGCCCGCCAAAAGCCCCATTCTGTCTTATATCTCTTCTTTCCTTTTTCTTTTTTTCAAACACTTTTTTTAAGGTTTATATCTTTTTTCTTTTTATTATTATATTTATTTTATTGTTAATTATTTTATAATTTGTTTAATTCTTTAGGATTCTTAAATTTTTTTAATTAAGCCTATATTCAGCTCTGGGAAGCTCGGGGGGGGATGGTGGGGGTGGTTTGGGAGGGTTGAGTGAGGGTTGTTTTGTTTTGTTTTTGTTGTTATTGTTGTTTCTTGTTTTTTGTAAAACTTTTTAAAAAATTTTCAATAAAATATATATATATATAAATAAAAAGTCCCATTCTGCAAACGGTGCTGAACCAGTTGAGTAGTCCTCGACTTACGACCGGTTGTGTAGTCCTCGACTTACGACCGGGGGTCGCGGCATTAAAAAGGTTGAGAACCACTGATTTATTGCAATAAGTGGGGAGAGAAAGCTATCAAAGCTTGGTTCTCTCCGAAGTTTCATCCCAAAATTATTCCTTTCTTTATACAGCCCTGTCCCGGCTGACACATCCCTCCTCTTTCCCCATTGGCTGAGGTACTATGAGGTTACTACTCTTTCCGTCCGCCTCCTACCTATTTCCTGCTACATACTAAATCATACATCACATGTACATTAAAATTAAGAGATGATTTATGCAAGGTGTGTCAGTTAATATTAATCAACTAATTGCACATGCTCAGTAGCCTGAATTCTGCTCCCCCCTTTTTATGACTTCTTAGAAAAATAGGTTCTTTCCTGTTTTGCTAGTTATCTTCTCTTCCAGCTCCTTTTCCCATTCTGAAGACCCAGGTAACAATTTTGCCTATGTGTTTCTCTCACATCCTTCCTTTATGCTCTCCTTTCCTGTTTCTCAGCCATTCTAGTTGCTTCTCCACTCAGTAAATTTCCACGGCAGCAAATTTAATTTTAATTTTCTCTTTCAATATTAAATGTTTGAAGACCTTTCCTTTACTTCTATCAACGTTGACCAACCACCTCCACCACCCACAAATTGTGAGGTCTTCTGTAAAGGCCGTTTCTGCCGGCTTCAGCCTGACCACAATCCGGTGGGAACAAATTCTTTTTTTTTTTCCCCTCTGATCTTTCTGCCTTGGCTTCTTCTTAGACTGTGGGATGCAGCCCAGACATCAGAGCTGGAAGGAAGTGACAGATGACCATCATGCCTTACCTGGAACCTGGCCGTGGCTCATCAGCATCCAGATCTTCACTCCCAAGGGACCAAGGCATTCTTGTGACGGAGCCGTAGTGGATGTCCGTTGGATCCTCGCTGCAGCACACTGTTTCAGTACAAAGGAAAAGTAAGGGGGAAGGAGAAAACCCAGCATCTCCCTCGCTGAGTATTTGTGGATCGGAGATGATGTTGCTTTCACTTATTTTATTTGTAAGCAATCCGTCCAACCGCCAGATCCTAGATTGGTAAATACCGCCAGATCCTAGATTGGTAAATAGCAGATTATGCATCCCAAAAGTACTGTTCAAAAGGCAACTGGACTTTGTTTTTTTCCTTGAAGATGTTTTGCTTCTCATCCTCATTTCTGACTGAATGGTGGAGGATGGAAAGATTTATATTTATATTCCTTGTAGTCCTCTGGCCGTTAGTATAATAATAATAATACGTAATAATAATCCGCACTAGATATTGGAGTTCCTGGATATCTGGTGAAAAATGGGTTACAGGACTCAGGACTGTTGGCTGAGCAACCAGGGCCAGCAGCTGCAGAAGTATTGGAAGAAAAGGTGTTTACCTGTCGCAGATACACCGTGATTGAAAACAAAACCTACAAATAGAAATAGAAAGACAAATTGTCGATAAGAAAGACAAAAAAGTCTGGATAGTGGACGTGGCAGTGCCTGGAGACAGCAGAATAGACGAGAAAGAACTGGAGAAGATAACAAAATACAAAGATCTACAAATAGAAATAGAAAGACTGTGGCAAAAGCAAGCAAGGGTAGTACCAATAGTAATAAGCTCCTTGGGTGCAATCCCAAAACAACTGGAGCACCACTTGAACACCATCATCGGCATTGACAAATTCGCTATTAGTCAATTGCAAAAGGCGGCCTTACTAGGAACTGCATCCATCCTGCGACGATATCTGTAATACCATCAAACATCCACATCTGCCTATGCCAGGTCCTGGGTAAGGACTCAATAGGTAGACAAAATGCCAAATCCAGTCTGAACATCTGGCTTACTGTGCGATGATCCATCAATAATAATAATAATAATAATAATAATAATAATAATAATAATAATAAGAAGGAGAAGGAGAAGGAGAAGGAGAAGGAGAAGGAGAAGGAGAAGGAGAAGGAGAAGGAGAAGAAGAAGAAATTGGAAGGACTTTGGAGGTCATCTAGTCCAACCCCCTGCTCAGGCAGGAAACCCTACACCATTTCAGACAAATGGCTGCCCAGTCTCTTCTTAAAAACTTCCAGTGTTGGAGCATTCACCACTTCTGGAGGCAGGTTGTTCCACTGGTTAGTTATTCTCACTGTCAGGAAGTTTCTCCTTAGTTCCAGGTTGCTTCTCTCCTTGATTAGTTTCCATCCGTTGCTTCTTGTCCTGCCTTCAGGTGCTTTGGAGAATGGCTTGACTCCCACTTCTTTGAAGCAGCCCCTGAGATACTGGAAGACTGCTATCATGTCCCCCCTCGTCCTTCTCTTCATTAAACTAGACATACCCAATTCCAGCAGCCGATCCTTATATGTTTTAGCCTCCAGTCCCCGATCATCTTTGTTGCTCTTCTCTGCACTCTTTCTAGAGTCTCAACATCTTTTTTACATCTTTTAGTACTCTTCCTGAGAGTCATTGAGGCCACTTGGAGACTTATCTGTGCCCTCAGGGTCACCTAAATAGTGCAAATGGGTGTGGATCCTTCTTGGAACTGCTGACAGGACAGTGTTGTAAACAGGAGATAGAGGGTGACGTATCCTTCCCCCTCTGTTGAGGGAGGGGCTGTTCAGTTTTGATGTAGATGGCCTCTCTGACCTCATTTGTCCAAGATAAATCTTCAAGTGGCCTCAACGACTCTGTGAAAGAGTGCTAATGACCAGACGACTGCAAGGAATAGAAATCCTTCCATCCTCCGCCATTCTGTCAGAAGCGAGGAAGCTTCTTGGTTGAGAAGCGAAACGTCTTTAAGAAAAAACAAAGAAACTCCAGTTTGCCTTTTGAAAAAGCGCCCTTGGGACAACCATGGTCTGGATGACTGAGAATCTCCATAGACAAGCAGATTATTTGCATAATCTGGGGGATTCTGGGAGTTGAAGCCTACCCATCTTAAAGTGGTTATTGAGGCTGGAAAACACCGATCTAGAACAGTGCAGTTCTTGACTTACGATCACGACAGAGCCCAATTTTTTTCGGTTGTTAATCAAGACAGTGGTTGTGAGTTTTGCCCCGTTTTATGACTTTTCTTGATAAAGTTCTTATGTGAATCACAGCGATTATTCTAATTCGAGGATCCTCCTCAGGTCTTCCAAGCCTCTTTCAGGAATATATGGAGACCATGTTGTGGGAGGCAAAGACGAGGGACGCGCCGATGTTGCACTTTGTGGATTGAGATTTTTCTATTTGGCAAGGGCCCTAAAGTTCCCTATTTTAAAAAATCTAAGTTCTGGGCATCTAGCTGTGTTTGAAAGATTTCTTTGAGTGCTACAGATCCAATGCTCTGCTTTTTTTTTTGTTTGTTTGTGTTTTTTGTTTTACTTGCAGCTCTCTGAAAGTCTGGAAGATTGTGTTGGGGGCCACCGATCTGTCCAGATTGCCAGACATAGCCCAGTTCCGCTCAATAAAACGAATCATCTTCCACCAGGATTACAATCCCTCCGCAAAGATCAACGACGTGGCGCTGATAGAGCTTGACAGCCCTGTGACGTTCAATGCCTATGTGCAGCCAATCTGTTTGCCCCCGGTCAGCTTGGACTCTGAAGCCTTCTCCATCTGTTACGTCAGTGGCTGGAATTCAAGCGGTGAGGGAATCGGAATGGAGACATGGGAAAGGGTTGGTTGGTGACCCTGAGGACACAGATAAACCTCCAGGTGGCCTCAACGACTCTCCAAAAGAAGGCAAAGGACCAGCGGTCTGCAAGGAGTATAAATCTTTCCATCCTCCCCCCCCCATCCAGTCAGAGTTGAAGAAGCTTCTTGGATGAGAAGCGAAACGTCTTCAAAGAAAAACAAGGAAGTCCAGTTGCCTCCTGAAAAAGCAGTTTGGGGATGACTATGACCTGGATGACTGAGAATCTCCGTAGACACTTAACAACTGTATTCCTAACTTGTTAAATGAATCAGCGCAGTTGTTAGGTTCGTAACACAGTCGTTAAGTGTCTATGGAGATTCTCCGTCATGGTTGTCCCAAAGGTGCTTTTTTCAAGAGGCAACTGGACTTTCTTGTTTTTCTTTGAAGACATTTCGCTTATCATCCTAGAAGCTTCTTCAGCTCTTGACTGGAGGGTGGGGAAATGGGAGGATTTATACTCCTTGCAGAGAGCTGGTCATTTGCATTTTTAGAGAGTCGTTGAGGCCTCTCTCCCTCTCCCTTTCTCTCTCCCTCCCTATCTCCCTCTTTTCCACTCCCTTTCCCTCCCTCTCCTTCTCCTCCTCTCCCTCCCTCTCCCTTTCCCTCTCCCTCCATCTCTCTCTCCTTCCATCCCTCTCCCTCTCTCCCCCTCTCTCCCTTTCCTCCCCCCGTTTTTTAACAGACTTTGTGTCAAGCAGGCCTTAGATGCCAAACTGGGGAATGGGTTGTGATTGGTGTACGTATGTATGTGTGTTTGTCTGGGAAAGAACTGCTACAAAAAGCAGAGGTGATCATCCAGCTGAGTTCCATGCTTTGCCCATAGGTATCTCCGCCGTCGTGTATGAAGTCAAAGCAGATATTCTAGAGACGACGACATGCAACAGCAGCGAGTGGTATCAAGGGAGGATGAATCCGCACACGCTCTGTGCAGGTTTGCACGAGAGGGATAGCGACTCTTGCCAGGTAAATGTTGTGCCCATCGGCAGCAAGAACAGCAAAAGCTGTTACTTAAAATACATAAAATACTGACAGCAGTTTTCCAGTGTTTCATTTCTTTTTTCCTTTTTCCTACAGGGGCACAATGGAGGTCTTTTAATGTGTAAGACATTGCCCAAGTCACCATACTACATACTTGGCATTTCCAACTCGGAGAAGGATTGTGCCAGGACAGAGTACCCCAGAATTTATACCTCCGTTCAGCAGTTCCTGGAATGGATCTCCAAAAAGATGGGAAGCCAAGAGATCCAAAAGGAGGAAGTAGACCGTAAGATTGAGGAGAGCAGTTCCATTTCAATCACAAACGTCCCGAAGGAAACGGTTGTCATACAACCCCCATTTATTCCTCAAGAAACAGTTCCCACACTTCTAGATCCTCCCTATGTTCCAGAAGAAACAACTCCTTCGCCTCCAGTGTCTCCCTTTATTCCTACAGAGACGAAACTCATTCTGGAGCTTCCATCGGTCGACGAGCCATTTCATACGGGACACAAAGCAGTCGATAGCTCAGTGCAGTATCGCCTTCCAAACACAACTGCTTTGCCCCCCGAATATGTTCCTCCAGAAGCAGAAGTCACTCTGGAGCCCCCATATATCCCTCTAGAGGACCCTGATCATCTAGAGCCTCCGTTCATCCCTCCAGAAGCATCCATCCTTGTGGAACCTCCATACACCCTTCGGGAAACCACGGCTTCTCTAGAGCCACCCTACACGCCCCAGGAAATCACCACTCCTCTAGAACCTCCATACACCCCCACGGAGACTTCTATTCCTCTAGAAAATCCATACCTACCTTCGGAGACCTCTGTCACTATAAAAGCACCATATGTGCCTGAAGAGACCCCTCCATCTCTGGAGGCACCATATCATTCTCCAGAGACCTCCCCTACTCTAGAACTTCCATACACGCCTCCAGAGACTCCTGCTACTCTAGAAACCCCATACATGCCTCCAGAAACTCCTGCTCCTCTACAGCCGCCCTACACACCTCCAGAAGCTCCCACTTCTCTAAAACCTCCATATATGCCCCCAGAATCTACTACCAATCTAGAACGTCCATACACACCTCCAGAAGCTCCCACTTCTCTAAAACCTCCATATATGCCCCCAGAATCGACTACTAATCTAGAACGTCCATACACACCTCCAGAAATTCCTGCTGCTCTAGAACCTCCATGCATACTTCTAGAAGGTCCAGGAACATCCCAAGGCGCTCCTCCTCTAGAAGCTCCAAACACACCTTCAAGAAATCCCGCTCCTAGAAACCCTCCATGCATATCTCCAGAAACGTTTGCTCCTCTAGACATTCCACACATACCCCCAGAAGCTCTTTCTTCTCTAGAACCTCCACACATATCTTCAGAAATATCTTCGCCCTTATAGCCCCCATACATCCCCGTGAGGCCCACGTCCACCAGAACAGCCATACACACCTCTAGAAACCCCTGCTCAAGAAACTCCTGTTCATCTGGAACCTCCTCCTCTCAAGACTCATCCTACAGGTCACTACCACTCTGGAACCATCGTATATTTTTCATGAACCCCATTGTGCCTTCAGCGACTAGCAATATGGAGCCTCCACATATTTCTCCAAGGTACAATCTCTCTAAGACTTCTCCGTCCATTGAGTAGTCATCTACTCCACCAGAGTATCCGTATTTTTCTCCAGATGCACCTGGTAGATGACCTTTCCCCGTGGAAACCTTTCTCCATTGACCTCCCCTCTAATATCCAACATACTCTTCACACAACATTGGGAGACAATGAAGCATTGTCAAAACGAGATTCCAGATGTTCCTCTCTGATCCAGATGTCTCCAGAGGCATCTGTTCCTGTTGAGTGGCTACACTGTCTTCCTAGAATCTTTTATGCTTAGAGTGACCATGTACAACGTTGGCTTCTGCACCCCTAAACAACTCCCCTGCTCTTCCAGAGTTCTTAAAACAGCTCCAGGAAACAACCATGACAAATATCATAAAATTTAGTTATACTTTAGAACACATAGATTTTATTGATTTGTTTAATGTATTTAATTATTCAATTGTTTCTTTATTAAACTGCTCTATCCTCATCCAAAGTGCACCGGCATCTCTCTTGAAACAGCCACCTTATTGCAACATCTTCGGATGGTCATCTACTCTGGAGGTTCCACCTGAATGACATGGCTTGGACTTGGTCCAGGTAGTCCTCAACCTACGACCACAATTGAGCCCCAAACTTCTGTTGCTAAACAAGACAATTCAGTGAATTTTGCCCCACTTTATGACCTTTCTTGCTACAGTTCTTGAGTGAATCACTACAGTTACTAAGTTATTAAGTGAACAACTGTGATTGTTGTTAGTTAAGACGGTTGTTAAGTGAATTCGGCTTCCCACAAAATTTAAGAAATAAAATTCCAACTAGGATCAAGTTATTCTTGCAACGTTTTTAAACTCCCCTGGAATAGTCAGTCGCCACTGTTTTTAGAGGGAGAAGTAAAATGTCCCGTCCCTCTCCACGGGGGGGGGGGAGTACTTAGGCAGCTTATGCAGGTAAAAAAGATAGTTAAGATTTAAGAGAGGTAGATCTCACCCAGTCTCTTCCGCGCTGCTTTAAAGTTGCCTGACTGTATGTGTGACTTCGGCTGTCTGCAGCAACCTAGTGATGAGCCATATTTCTATGGCTGATGAAGGAGGAGGAGAAGGAGGAGGAGGAGAAGAAGGAGAAGGAGAAGGAGAAGAAGCTCAGTAGTAGTAACTGTGAGAGGGACCTCAGAGTCCTAGTGGACAATCATTTAAATATGAGCCAGCCATGTGCTGCAGCTGCCAAAAAGGCCAACTCACGGCTGGGCTGCATTAACAGAGGGATAGAATCAAGATCACGTGAAGTATTAATACCACTTTTCAATGCCTTGGTAAGGCCACACTTGGAATACGGCATACAGTTTTGGTCACTGTGATGTAAAAAAGATGTTGAGACTCTAGAAAGAGTCCAGAGAAGAGCAACAAAGATGATTAGGGGACTGGAGGCTAAAGCATATAAATAACGGTGGCTGGAATTGGGTATGTCTAGTTTAATGAAGAGAAGGACGAGGGGGGACATGATAGCAGTCTTCCAATATCTCAAGGGCTGCCCCAAAGAAGAGGGTGTCAAGCTATTTTCCAAAGGTGCCTGAAGGCAGGACAAGAAGCAATGGGTGGAAACTCATCAAGGAGAGAAGCAACCTAGAACGAAGGGGAAACTTCCTGACAGTTAGGACAATTAACCAGTGGAACCACCTGCCTCCAGAAGCGGTGAATGCTCCAACACTGGAGCTTTTTAAGAAAAGACTGGACAGCCATTTGTCTGAAATGGTATAGGGTTTCCTGCCTGAGCAGGGGGTTGGACTAGATGACCTCCATGGTCCCTTCCAACTTTATTATTATTATTACTACTACTACTGCTGTGGGGTCCTTGGTGCTCTCTCAGCTTGGTTGCTTTCTTGCAAATGTTTCGTGACCCAACTCACTAACCTCATCAGTGCTAGAAGGGAGTGGAGTTTGCAAAGAGGAAGGAGATCACAGGACCCTGGGACACTGCAAGCATTGTAAATACATGCCAGTCGCCAAAAATGCTCAAAGTTTTGACCACGTGACTATGGGACCTGTTTTAAGTCATTTTATTCAGTGCACTTGTAACTCTGAACAGTCACTAACGGGACGGTTGTGAGTCAAGGACCACAGACGGAAACATTTTGAGTCTGTCATCTGTTCTTTAATAACTGTCTGGTTTGCCACAGCAACCCAACAGGACAGGGGCAGACTTGAACAGATAGTTAGGAATTGCAACCGGCCTGCCTTCCACTGAGGACCTTTAAAGTGCAGAAAGAGGGCTGGGAAAATATTATACAGACCCCTCACAACTTGGACATAAACTCTTTCAACTTCTTCCCGCTGTAGGGCATTGCTTGCCAAAACAACTAGACACAAAGGTGAGTTTTTCCCCTTCGTTCCATCACTCTGCTGCACACCTAGTTCTTGTGCCTCGGTATATTTACCCATGTGGTATGGCTGTGATATTATTATCCTTCTCATCTTTTCTACTACCTTCTCTTATTTGTATCATGATGATGATTATCACTCTGTGGTTTTGCATATACACTGAGAGCTAATGCACCAGACACAAATTCCTTGCACTGTATCTAATCACACTTGTCCAAATAAAGTTATTTTATTCTGTTCTGTTCTCCATTCTATTCTATTGTTCTCCATTCTATTCTATTCTGTATTCTATTCTAATTTCTATTTTATTCTCTTCTATCCTCTTTCTATTCCCATTCTATTCTGTTCTATCCTATTTTCTATTCTATTCTTTTCTATCTTATTCTCATTCTATTCCTATTCTAATTCTATTCTGTTATTTCTATTCTACTCTATCCTATCCTCTCCTCATTCTATTCCTATTCTATACTATTCCATTCCATATTCTGTTGTTTTATTCCATGTTCTGTTCTGTTCTATTCTGTTTATTCCATATTCTATTCTATTCTATTCTGTTTATTCCATATTCTATTCTATTCTGTTTATTCCATATTCTATTCTATTCTATTCTATTCTATTCTATTCTATTCTATTCTATTCTATTCTATTCTATTCCATTCCATTTCTATTCTATTCTATTACTATTATTTCTATTTCTATTCTCTTTGCCACAGGATAAATCATTCTTACTGATTGTTTCCCCCCACTTCCTTCCCTATTCTAACATCTGGGTTTTATTTATTTATTTACAGTATTTATATGCCGCTGTATATGGTGGCATAATCCTTGTGCGGAAGAGACTAACCACACATCTCTCCCTGCTTAAGCTTTCTACCACGATCTACTAAATTGGCTCTGTTGTGCCCTCTGCAGGAAATTTTAAGGCACCCATTATTAAATGAACTTCAGTCAATTTGGCATCTGCCACCCTTGTGCACAGAGAATGAGGTGGCTGGAGGGAGTCCCTGAAGCAGCAGGCATGAGCTTAAGTGGACTCCAGAAGACGGCAGAGGATAGGAAGGCCTGGAGGAACGTGGCCCATGGGGTCACGATGGGTCGGACACCACTTCGCAACTAACAACCACAACCTTGGTGCAAGAGAGACATAGTTTATTGCCGGGGGCAGTCACCATGAAACAGAGAGACATGATTCACGTTATACAGCCGTGCGAGCCGGTTTTCCAACTGGCCCAGAGTGATTTTTTCCACCACGTTTTGGTCATTCCTAGCAAGGATGGCCCAGGATCTCAGATGATTGTTGTCTATCACACAGCAGGCCGCAGACCACAAATGGCTGGGCCTGTTGACCCTCCCGCCAGATATGTAGGTGTTTCCTGGCACTGCCCCCACCACCGCAAAGGTCTCCTGGCACCCTCTGGTCATCTGAATCATGGTGGTTTGCTCGTAGTTGTTCCAGGCTCCGCCGTTGAGCTTTATGAACTGCGGGACGATGTTCGTCAGGGTGAAAGTAGACGACTTGGCGGCGTAGTCCGGCTGGTGCCCGTTTGGATTCAGGTGGCCTCTGTTGTAACTGGTCAGGTTCTTGTAGTCTTGCAAGATGGCCTGGCTGTCCTTCAGAGCTTCTTTGGGACCCTTTTGATTCAGGAATTCCCCTTCTGTTTCCATTTCTGGTTGGTAAGAGGAATTGATGAGCTATGGTGGAGGAAGCACAAACAGCCGGAATGAAAGAAAGGATCGCACCAGGGGGAAAAAACAAACAAAAACCCCCGTGGACCCGGAATTAGGGGACAGCATAGAGGGAGCATCCGTTGTGAATATGTGCAGGTGGCCCCGCTGTCTCTGGGCAACAGAGATGATTAGGGGACTGGAGGCTAAAAAAAAAAAATGATATCATGATTTTGGGTTTTACCGGTTAGACTGATTTGCCGATGCAGAAATGGCGAATGCACGCTACTACAGGTATGTAAAACGTGGAGATTTGATTTTAATGCTGATCTTACTACAACGGAGAGAGTCGGAAGTCAATGCTTTTTGTTTCTTCCCCCCTCCCTTTCTTCACACCTTTTTTGTTTTCCCTTTTTCTACTGTTATCCCCTAAGCAAAGAAGCTGAAGAAACAGTGGACCACTTGGTAAGCTGTTGCAAGAAGATTGCAGCGGCATGACAAAGTAGCAACAATGGTGCATTGGAAGATCTGCAAAAAATATCATTTGGCTTTGGAAGCATATCTGAAGAACAATGATGAAGATGCACTGAAATTAGTATATCAGGAAGGCTTACTGACTACTGGAGAGACCAAACTGGCCTACAAGAAAGACCAAATGAAGAACAGAATAGAGGCATGGGAAGACAAAGCACTACATGGCCAATACATTAAAAAAATAGCTGGGAAAGCAGATATTAAAAAGACCTGGCAATGGTTAAGAGCAGGAAAATTGAAGAAAGAGACCGAGGGACTAATTCTGGCTGCACAAGACCAAGCCTTAAGGACAAATGCATACAAAGTCAAAATTGAGAAGACAGCAACAGACAGTAAGTGCCGCCTATGCAAAGAAGCTGAAGAAACAGTGGACCATTTGGTAAGCTGTTGCAAGAAGATTGCACAGACTGACTACAAGCAGTGGCATGACAAAGTAGCAACAATGGTGCATTGAAAGATCTGCAAAAAATATCATTTGCCTGTAAGCAAAAACTGGTGGGATCATAAAATAGAGGAAGTCATAGAAAATGATAAAATTAAACTACTCTGGGACTTCAGAATTCAAACAGACAAGCACCTGCAACATAACACCCCAGACTTAACAATTGTCGATAAGAAAGACAAAAAAGTCTGGATAGTGGACGTGGCAGTGCCTGGAGACAGCAGAATAGACGAGAAAGAACTGGAGAAGATAAAAAAATACAAAGACCTACAAATAGAAATAGAAAGACCGTGGCAAAAGCAAGCAAGGGTAGTACCAATAGTGATAGGCTCCTTGGGTGCAATCCCAAAACAACTGGAGCACCACTTGAACACCATTGGCATTGACAAATTCGCTATTAGTCAATTGCAAAAGGCGGCCTTACTAGGAACTGCTTCCATCCTGCGATGATACCTGTAATACCATCAAACATCAACATCTGCCTATCCCAGATCCTGGGTAAGGACTCGATAGGTAGACAAAATGCCAAATCCAGTCTGAACATCAGGCTGACTGTGCGATGATCCATAATAATAATAATAATAAAGTTGGGAGGGACCTTGGAGGTCATCTAGTCCAACCCCCTGCTCAGGCAGGAAACCCTATATCTTTTCAGACAAATAGCTATCCAGTCTCTTCTTAAAAACTTCCAGTGTAGGAGCATTCACCGCTTCTGGAGGCAAGTTGTTCCACTGGTTAATTGTTCTAACTGTCAGGAAGTTTCTCCTTAGTTCTAGGTTGCTTCTCTCCTTGATTAGTTTCCATCCGTTGCTTCTTGTCCTATCTTCAGGGGCTTTGGAGAATAAGTTGACCCTCCTGTTTGTTGTGGCAACCCCTGAGATGTTGGAAGACTGCTATCATGTCCCCCCTCGTCCTTCTCTTCATCAGATTAGATCAGGGGTGGCTCAAGAATTATGGGAGTTGAAGTCCATGAGTCATAAAAGAGCTGAGGTTGCCTACCCCTGGACTAGACATACCCAATTCCAGCAGCCGTTCCTTATATGTTCTAGCCTCCAGCCCCCTGATCATCTTTGTTGCTCTTCTCTGCACTCCTTCTAGAGTCTCAACATCTTTTTTACATCATGGTGACCAAAACTGGATGCAGCATTCCAAATGTGGCCTTACCAAGGCATTGTAAAGTGGTATTAATACTTAACGTGATCTTGATTCTATCCGTCTGTTAATGCAGCCCAGGACTGTGTTGGCTTTTTTGGCAGCTGAAGCACCCGGCTGGCTCCTATTTAAGGGATGGTCCACTAAGACAGTGTTTCTCAACCTGGACAATTTTAAGGCATGTGGACTTCAATTCCCAGAATTCCACAGCCAGCAATTCTGGGAGTTGAAGTCCACATGCCTTAAAATTGTCAAGGTTGGGAAACACTGCACTAGGACAATTGGCTTTTCTATTTTCGTATTTTATGTTATAAATGAATAAAACTTAATAAAAAAAGGAAGGAAGGAAGGAAGGAAGGAAGGAAGGAAGAAGGAAGGAAGGAAGGAAGGAAGGAAGGAAGGATTTGACCACATCCATCATCTCTTACCTGAGGTTCAATCATCCATTTTTTGGGCCTCTTAGCCGTCCCAGGTTTATAGATATACGCCGAATATACTGGGACGCGGTTGTCTTTGTCGTACAAAGTGGCAAAGCGATACAAGTTTTGGTAACGCTGGCAAATCCGGGCAGAGCGTGGAGGGTGCCTTATAACTGGTGGGGTTTCTCGGAGAAAAAACTGGGGACAAGTCTCTTCAAAGGAGTCCACCACCTCTCCGTTTGTGGGCAGGTTACTCCAGCTCGCCGAGAGGAGGAAGATCAGCAACAGCATTGTGTGAAAGGGCCGGGACGGAGTTGGTGTCTGGAAGGGAAAGAGAAGAGACGGATCAAGAGAGAGACCGTCTCGTTGGAAGAAGACCTTTGGAATAAGAAGGGGGATCTTCTCCTGGTCTCCTTTGGTTCTGCCTCTGCTTGGTCTGCTGCTAGGCGAGACAGGGGTGAAGTGAGTTTTGCTCCATTTTACAACCTTTCTTGTCACAGTGGTTAAGTGAATCACTGCAGTTGTTAAGTTGGTCACGCGGTTGTTAAGTGAATCTGACTTCCCAATTGGCTTTGCTTGTCAGGAGGTCTCAAAAGGAGATCATGTGATCCCAGGACACTGCAACCCTCATAAGAACCTTCTTCCTTCCTTCCTCTTCTATTGCTTCCTTCCTTCTATTCCTCTCTCCCTCCCTCCCTCCTTCCTTCCTTCCTTAGGACTTAGCAATAGTCCTTAGAGTTATAAACCACTTCACAGTGATTTACAGCCCTCTCCTTCCTTCCTTCCTTCCTTCCTTCCTTCCTTCCTTCCTTCCTTCCTTAGGACTTAGCAATAGCCCTTCCTTCCTTCCTTCCTTCCTTCCTTCCTTCCTTCCTTAGGACTTAGCAATAGCCCTTCCGCCCTTCCTTCCTTCCTTCCTTCCTTCCTTCCTTCCTTCCTTCCTTCCTTCCTTCCTTCCTTAGGACTTAGCAATAGCCCTTCCTTCCTTCCTTCCTTCCTTCCTTCCTTCCTTCCTTCCTTCCTTCCTTCCTTCCTTCCTTCCTTCCTTCCTTCCTTAGGACTTAGCAATAGCCCTTCCGCCCTTCCTTCCTTCCTTCCTTCCTTCCTTCCATCCTTCCTTCCTTCCTTCGGACTTAGCAATAAGCCCTTAGACTTATATACCACTTCACGGTGATTTACACCCCTCTCTTTCCTTCCTCTTTCTCCCTTCCTTCCTTAGGATTTAGCAATAGCCCTTAGACTTATATACCACTTCACAGTGATTTACAGCCTCTCTAAGCAATTTACAGAGTCAGCCTGTTGCTCCCCCCAAACAATCTGGGTCCTCATTTTACTGACCTCGGAAGGATGGAAGTGAGTCCACCTTGAGCTGGTCAGGATTGAACTACCGGCAGTGGGCAGAGTTAGCAGGCAATACTGCATTCTAACCACTGCGCCACCATGGCCTGTCCTTCCTTCCTTCCTCTCTCCCTTCCCTCCCTCCCTCTTTTCTTTCCTTTCTTCCTTCCTTCCTTCCTCTCTCCCTCCCTTCCTTTCCTCTCCCCCCCTTCATTTTAACTGTTTGAAATGAAGCAGAGAGAATATATTACCTGCCTCTCTGAATCCATACCAGGAGAGGGCAGTTGAGATTCCTCTTTACGGGACTTTCCCAGCCTGTAACCCTCTGTGCTGGAAAGGGCTCCTTCAAAATTTGCCCTTTGAAGAGAGTGTGTTGAATGCAGAGTGTGCCAGCCTTTCTTCGAGGGATATGCAGAATTCACAACATCTAAGATTACAGCCAGTGAAGTCTGGAGAACTTTGACGTGGCTGCAGCTGCAGGAGTGTGGTTGCCGATACAGATTCTAGTAACAGAATCTTGGAAAAATGACTGCATTTTTCCTTCCCTCCCTTAGTTTTAAATTGAAGTAAATTAAAGCGGAACCAGTCTCAACCTCTTAGCACTTTTCCAAGTTTAAAGTATGCTTTTTCTTTCTCCTTTCTATCCCTACCTTCTTCCCTTTCTTTCTCCTTCCTTCCCACCCTTTTTCTCTCTCTCTCCTTCCTTTCTCTCTCCCTCCCCTTCCTTCCTTCCTTCCTTCCTTCCTTCTTCCCTGCCTATTGTCATCTCTGTGAATCTCTACAGCTGCTCTCTCACAAACAGTTGAGGTTGATCAGGGGTACAATTTTACATATCTGGGTGCTATATAATAGCTGGTAGGATGAAGAACTGAGGAAAGTTAAGCAGCGCTTGAATGAAGCAGCCTGTAAATGAAGCGGAATCATCAACACTCTTTATTTGCTTTCCTAACACAAAGAACTTGCTCTACCACATCACCTTCTTGTCATTATTGGTAATCTGGAAATGGAAGGAATACCTCTTTCCTAGTGAGAAATCCTGGTGGGTCTCAATATAAAAAAAGATGTTGAGACTCTAGAACAGGGGGTCTTCAAACTTAGCCCTTTTATGACTTGTGGACTTCAACTCCCAGAATTCCTCAGCCAGCCTCCATTTTGTTTGTTAGATTTAAGACAGGGGTCTTCCAACTTGGCCCTTTTATGACTTCTGGACTTCAACTCCCAGAATTCCTCAGCCAGCCTCCATTTTGTTTGTAAGATTTAAGACAGGGGTCTTTAAACTTGGCCCTTGGATGACTTGTGGACTTCAACTCCCAGAATTCCTCAGCCAGCATGGACCATATAAGTCAGGGGTCTTCAAACTTGGCCCTTGGATGACTTGTGGACTTCAACTCCCAGAATTCCTGAGCCAGCATGGGAGAACTATAGCCCCTTCATGACTTGTGGACTTCAACACCCAGAATTCCTCAGCCAGGCACGCTGGCTGAGGAATTCTGGGAGTTGAAGTCCACAAGTCATAAAAGGGCCAAGTTTGAAGACCCCTGCTCTGGAAAAAGTGCAGAGAAGAACAACAAGGATGATTAGGGGCCTGGAGGCTAAAACACATGAAAAACGGTTGCAGGAACTGGGCAGGTAATAGTCTAGTGAAAAGAAGGACTAAGGGAGACATGATAGCAGTCTTCCAATATCTGAGGGGATCTTACAAAGACGAGCGGGGTCAACCTAGTTTCCAAAGCCCCAAAAGATAAGACAAGAAACGACGGATGAAAACCAATCTGAGCGAGAAGCAACCTAGAAATAAGGAGAAATTGTCTAACGTGAGAACAATTAACCAGTGGAACTGCTTGCCTTCAGAAGTTGTGGGTGCTTCATCAGTGGATTCTTTTAAGAAGAGATTGGACAGTCACCTGTCTGAAATGTAATAGGATCTCCTGTTAGAGCAGGGGGTTGGACTAGAAGACCTCCAAGGTCCCTTCCCACTCTATGGTCCTACATTCTATGTTCAAGCCAGCAGTGTTTGGAGCTGAAAGGAAATCGGGGTGCCCTTTGCAGGGAGGAATTGAGGTGCAAAACTCTGGGTGATCTGTAGGGGGCAGCAAAGAGCCTGTTTTCTGTATCTCTCTTGATAACATCTAGTGATTCTGCCGCTCAGATGTGACAGCTTCCAAATTCACAAACTCAAAATAGAGTCAACATGGCCAGAACGGAAGAAGCTTCTTGGATGAGAAGTGAAATATCTTCAAAGAAAAACAAGGAAGTCCAGTTGCCTCGGGGGGGGGGGGGCGGAGAAGCACCTTTGGCACATGGCCAGCCACAATTCCGAAGCTCTGGAATGGAATTTCATCCATCACAGAGCTTACGTTGAGCGTCAAGAAAACAGTCATACAGACGTAAACGGAGTTTAATCAGGTGGTAAAATGCATTAGTCACTAAATGCTGACATGCTCAACAAGAGGAACTAAAGAGAGCAAATTATGCTATCTTTCAAAGTTGGAAGCCTTGTTAATTCAACTCACGACAAACTCGAACCATGGGCCCCATCCAACAAAATGAGTTTCAATGTGGAGAAAAACAAAATCTTACACTTAGGCAGGAAAAACCAAAGGAACAAGTACAGATGCTCAAAAACAGCAACTGTGAGAGGGACCTTGGAGTCCTAGTGGACGATCCCTTGACCATGAGCCAGCCGTGTGCAACCGCCGCCCAAAAAGCTAATACAATCCTGGGTTGTATAAACAGAGGCATAGAATCAAGATCACGTGAAGTATCAGTACCGCTTTATAAAACCCTAGTAAGACCACACCTGGAATACTGCAGCCAATTGTGGTCACCATATCACAAAAAAGATGTTGAGAGTTTGGAAAAAGTTCAGAGAAGAGCAACTAAGATGATCCAAGGCCTGGAGACTAAAACATATGAAGAAGGGCTGCGGGACTTGGGTTTGGCCAGTCTAAAGAAAAGAAGAAATAGGGAAGACACGATAGCGGTGTTTCAGTATCTGAGGGGCTGCCACAAAGAAGGAAGGGGGGGGTCAGGTTGTTCTCCAAAGCACCAGAGGGCAGAACAAGAAACAATGGTTGGAAACCGACCAAAGAGAGAAGCAAACTGGAATTAAGGAGAAACTTCCTGACAGTGAGGACAATCAACCAGTGGAACAGCTTGCCTCCAGAAATCGTGGGAGCTCCATCACTGGAAATTTTCAAGAGACTGGACAATCACCTGTCTGAGATGGTATAGGTTCACCTGCTTGAGCAGGGGGCTGAACTAGAAGATCTCCAAGGTCTATTCTAGTCTATTCTATTCTATTCCATTCCATTCCATATTTTCTATTCTATTCTATTCCATTCCATTCCATATTTTCTATTCTATTCTACTCCATTCCATATTTTCTATTCTATTCTACTCTAATCCATTCCATATTTTCTATTCTATTCTATTCTATTCTACTCCATTCCATATTTTCTATTCTATTCTATTCCATTCCATATTTTCTATTCTATTCTACTCCATTCCATATTTTCTATTCTATTCTATTCTATTCTATTCTATTCTATTCTATTCTATTCTTCTACTCCATTCCCCTATTCTATTCTATTCTATTCCATATTTTCTATTCTATTCTACTCCATTCCATATTTTCTATTCTATTCTACTCCATTCCATATTTTCTATTCTATTCTATTCTATTCTATTCTATTCTATTCTACCACTCCATGCACATGACATACTCCAATGTATGTCAAAGCATTGTCTCTATCTCTCTCTTTCAAGGAGACAGAACAGCTTCTCCGTCCTGACTCTGATTAAGGTGGATAGCATTGTGCCCTATGCAACGGGGGGCGGGGGGGGGGAGTGGAGAACTATGGCCCTTTTATGAATTGTGGATTCTGCTGGGCTGGCTCAAGAATTCTGGGAGTTGAAGTCCACAAGCCGTAAAGGGGTTGGGGTTCTGCGATGATCCTGAATTCATGGAAAGCCTTCTCCGC